AAATCAAGAATATGTGATTTGTTCATTCCTATCCTTTATTTAATTGACAAAAGTACAAAGAACAGATTTCCATTGATTTCACTGGCCAACTTAATTGTATTTTGATGGCTGCAACACACACCAAAACATTGGGACAGAGGCATGTTTACCACTGAGTCACATCAACTTTCCTTTTCATTATACATTTTAATCGTCTGGGAATTAAGGATGCTAATTTTTAAAATCTCTGTGCCAACTTTGTTGTGTTGGGTGTGCGGCAGCCATCAAAATATACTTTTTTAATATATATTTACAAAATACATTTAAGTTGGTCGGTGAAACACTGGAAATCTTTTCTTTGTACTTCTATCAGTGAAATAAAAGTTAAAGAGAATTAACAAATCAGATATTCTTGATTTTATTGCATTTTACAAAATGTCCCAACTTTTCTGGAATCGTGTTGTATATTTATGTCTTTTTAAACACATTTGTTTATTTATTTATTTTAAAAAATATTCCTTTTTGTGTCTTTACCTATTCTATATGTTTACACAATCGAAAGATTGGGGTGAGTTTTTGTAAGAAGTCTCTTCTGCTCATCAAGGCTGCATTTATTTGACACAGTAAAAAATACAGTAAAAATTCTGAAATATTATTACAATCTAAAACAGCTGTTTTCTATGTGAGTATCTGTTAAACTGTAATGTATGTCTGTGATGCGCAGCTGTATTTTCAGCATCATTCCTCCAGTCTTCAGTGTCACATGATCTTCAGAAATCAGTATAATATGCTGATCTGCTGCTCGAGAAACATTTCTGATTATTATCAATGTTGGAACACAGGCGCGCTCCACAATATTTTTGTGGAAACCGTGATACATTTTATTTTTCAGGATTCACAGATGAATAGAAAGTTCAAAAGAACAGCATTTATTATTTTGTAACATTCTAAATGTCTTTACTGTCACTTTTGACCAATTGAATGCGTACTTGATGAATAAAAGTATTGATTTCTTTCAAAAACACTCTCTGCTCGGTAGTTTATTTCTGAGTTAAACAGCACATAAAATGAGCAGAAGATTCAGAGCACAGACTAAATTATAGATAAAGATGAAAGTCATTTGGAGGAAGTTACTGATGAAAGATTCTAAAGACAAACATCATTATTTCTTCAGAATATTGTCACTGATGAATCATTCACATTCACAGTCAGTGTTGATCTTGATTTCATGTTGCAAAAAAAGCAAATAGCATTGAATATGACTTGACAAGACTGACAGTGTGTTTTAGTGTTTCAAAGCGAATGTCTTTCTGTCAGACGTTTACAGTATCAGCTCATATATACTCTCACCGTTCAGGCTGCTCATGTCAACCGGGTTATTGTCAGACGGCCAGTAACTGCTGTCTCCATGACGACCTGAGACCAGAGAGAGAACGGCTGAGGTCAGAGTCTCACTCACACACACACACACACACACAGACACAGACACAGACACAGACACAGACACAGACACAGACACACACACACACACTCACAGACACACTCACAGACACAGACACAGACACACTCACAGACACACTCACAGACACAGACACA